ACTAGTTATTTCCCGCATTAATTCTACCTTTACAGCAGCAAGACAAAAAAAAAAAAATAAGAAAACTCCAAACAATTATAATTGCAGCTGCACAATTATTTTGATTTGTTTATCTGCCTGGGTTCACTTTACTGTGATATTTACGTATCTTTCAGAGCAATGAGATAATGTTTTTTGATTCCCTCATCACATATAGATTGTTTATATGCTTTCCACCACTCCCATACCCTTTAGAGATAGTTCACAGGACACCTGTTTGAGTTTCTTACCGGTTTGTGGTTAGATTCTAAGACACAAGCACATTATTTTTTTGCAAGCTAAACAACAACAGAAAAAAAAAAAAAAAACCACAGTAAGCTGTTATGTGCTGCCATCTAGTTAAATTATGCTATAAGACAAATGTTTAATTGCATTTCCATTAGCTTGCAATACTCTGTGCTTTGTAGGCCTGGTGTCCGAAAAACTGCACATTACGTAAGTGTTTCTTCACAGAATAGTAGAAGTCTATTTGCTAGAGGTTCTACAAAAGCACATGAGTAAGCAGAAGAGTGTGCTGAAGATTCTTCTCTGAGGTCCTAGGCATCTGAAGATTTGACACTAACTTGTTCTCCACTTTTCTCATTGGAACTTCTGAGAAATCCCAGAAGGGGCAACAGTAGCTGGGTTTTGTGTCCCAGAATTGTTTTGTAATTACTTGGTGTTGGCACTTAAATAAAAAGAGTTAAACATTTCAGCACAGTATGTTGCCTAAGGTTTGCTCTTATGAATTAAGCGAAACAAAGTTATTCAATATTAGTCACAAAGAGGCAATGCAAATTCCACATAACGTGTAATCCAACAAAAGCATTATAAATTGCTATTATTCTCAAAACAAATGTGAGAGCAAGCAAATGTCTGTGGGTGGTTTGGTGGGGCTTTCAAATCATGAACATTTCTGGAAAAACAACTGCAAAGGCATTTCTAACAGATGATGGGTCAGTCTCTGAAATTTTTTTCTTCAGCCTAGAAGAGCACATTGTTTTTCTCAGGAGTCCACACACTTTAGAAACCTGGCTACCCAATCAAAGAGGTCATTCCTGAAGAGGACACCAAATGACCCTTCCAGATTAATTTCTCATGGTGACAACAAGACTGCTGGTTTTGCTTTTCTCTCCCAAAAGAATGATTAAACTATGTATAAATGATTTAACGGGGGGAAATTCAATGATATTGGCATGAAGGACTACTAACTACCTCAATATATAAAACAACAGTGCCACATGATGTGATAAGAAGTTAACCAATATAAGAACTGACTCAATGGAAACTGACAAGAATGATAATAGTGCTTCTGCCATTTCACCCTGTGTCATCATCACATCCATCAGGCTGCATACATTGGATTGTATGCTTTCAAATATACTAAAAACAAGGTGACATATGAGGAACTGAAAAAAGAAGGTTTTTTCAGACAATTGACATGACATAGTCCATAAAGACAGTGTTCTAGAACCTACTTTGGTAAGTAGCAACTGGGAGATCTCAGTGGCCGGCCATTGAAGGTACAACGGTTGTTCTGTCCATATGCAAAATAAAGAAGAGTGATGAAAATTAAAGATGCTTGGAATCAGCTATTCAATTGGACCAATGGAACATGTGGCCATCAGTCACCATGATTGTGAGACCAGAAGAACTGGATGGTGTCTGGATACTATTACCAACTGCTCTCAAGGGATCACAAAAGAAGGTCCCAGATAGAGTGGGAGAAAATGTGGAACAGAACTCAAAATTATATATATGTTATTTTTATGTGCCATCAAGTCAGTTCTAACTCACTAATATATATGTCTATTTTCATTATATATATATAGTTTATTATAAATGTATGCATACACACACATGTATATATATAGTCCTGGTATAGAGCTGTGGTGGAACGCACAGTTGGTTTGAACCACAAGGTCAGTGGCTCCTGGGAAACCCTATACCAGGACACCAGGTCATTATGGTCGGAACTGACTCAATGGCACATAATAACAACATATATAGATATATACCAGGGTTACTGACAGAAAGAGACAGAAGTAACCCAAGACTTGTTGTCCTCAGCTACCCTTTAGTTCTGGAAAGAAATTCACCCTCGCTGCCCAATTTTCAGCAAAGCAGTAGACAGGTATACAAGAGGGAACAATAACATTAGTAAAATATGCTCACTATGGAATGGTCAACCATTAAAAATCAAAAGGGCAACACTTATCTAAGGACCAAGTTCAGAAGGGATGAGAAGGAGCCGGAAAGGGAATAAGAACCCTAGGGAGGAAGTGAGAAATGTTGTTCCATAGAGGGGACTGCAATCACTGAGATGAAACAAAGTGTATGCTTTGTTCAATGTAAAACTGATGATCTTCTCCATAAATCTTCACTCAATTCACAACAAAAAGTTAAAAAAAAGATTGACCAGAAAGATATGACAATAGGCTTTTAAACTATAAGATCTGTGTGAATATCTATTTATTCCTGTATTTTGCACCTTTCATAAACCCAGTTCAGTGCCATCGAATCAATTCTGACTCACAGAGTAGAACTTCTCCTTATGATTTCTGATACTATAAAACATTATGTGAGCAGACCGCCTCATCTTTTTCCCGGTGGAGTCCCTTTAAGTGTCAGATTTTTGGAATACTATTATAAGGAGCTCTGGTAGCACAGTGGTTACAAATAGGGCTGTGAACCGCAAGGTCTGCAGTTCGAAACTACCAGCTGTTCCATGGAAGAAAGATGAGGCTTCCTGCTCCCATAAAGATTTACAGCCTCCAAAACCCTGTACAGGGTTGCTATGAGTTTGAACTGACTTCACGGCACATAACCACCATTATATAATAATGACTTTGAAAGTTGTAAATAGCCATTTCCGATTTAAACTGGTTGAAGCAGGCTATTTGCTCCATATGTAACCGGGATGTAACCTGAATGTGGAAAAATGTAAGCAGTTTTGGCTGGCAAAAGTACAGAATGAATGACAAGCAGGAAAATATCCACAGCAGACACAATGGTGGGACAATAATATCTACAAGAATAAATACATTCTGTCCATGAAGACCAGTCTACTAGAAATAGGTCTCCTTGTTGATCTACTTTATTTACTTCATATGGGATTCTGTGGGAAACAGAGGGATTTGGCCTCCAAACTTTATGATCAAAACCAAGAAATACTTTAAAGTAACTCAAAATTAACCAAAGAGTATAAAAGTGTTTTGCCATGCCACTGGCAAAGATGAATAATAAGCTTTCACTCAAGAAAGAATTAGAGAGATAAATCTATCTCAAATTCCTTCACTTTGGGATTTCTAGGTAAAATATATGTTTAATTGAAAGCAGAACTTTAAATATGATATCCATCTGATAATTCTGTAATAAACTTTTAATAATGCTTGAGAGACTGACTCTGTACACAGAACCCTATAGGACATTAATGTTTTAAAGAAAAACAGTCAATTGTGTTCTCCTGTAAAACTGAATAGATGATCCACTTTTAGAGAGCAAATCCCTAAGGACAATAACTTATCATTAGAAAGGAATACATTGAGTGAATGGTTATGTATCTTCAAATGAAGTTACTCACCGACTCTTCAGAGAAGCAGGTTGCACTTAGCACTGTCTGCTTTGGCATTTCTATTTCAATTACAATTCTTAACCATTTCATTTCAGACTAAATTGGCTGTGATTAGGGATTTTCCTAACTACAGTATGAATTTCTAAAAAGTAATTTATTATAAATGATTTTTAAAATGCTGTTGTGAAATGATAACAGCTATATAATCATATGGGTGTGTGTTGGCTCAAAGGATAAGCAATGGACTGCAAACTACAAGGTCAGAGGTTCGAACGCAACAGCCACTCCTTGGAAGAAAGATGATGTTTTTTGCTTCCTCAGATTTACAGCCTCGGAAACCCTATACAGGGCCATGATGACTCAGAACCAACTCAAAGACACTTAACAACAACAAATAGAACCATTTATATAATCAACCTTGAAAGCATGACATTAGACTTTGTTTATTATGCAAGCTGTATGCATGCAAAAGCTTGTTCATAACTTTTATTCTCCTATGTTGAATTTAATATGGTCTCAATGCGTCAACTTCCTCATGAGGTAACCAGATTCAAAATATTGATGGCTTAGTTTCACTTCCCAACAGGTGAGAATTATGATGGACTTCCTTTATTGATTTCCAAAGAGGAGCAATAAAGGCACCAAATAGTAACATGTTTCATTGCCAGTGTGTGTGGTCAGGGACATTATCTGCCTTATGAAATTCCTTAACTCCAGTGTCTGAAACATGATATAGAACCATATATATATATTTAATATTTAATTATATACCATATAGCATTATAGGATAAGCACTGGACAGCAAAGTTGACTTGAACTGTAGTGTCTGCTGTTCAAACTCACCAGTTGCTCCTTGGAAACCCTATACAGGGTCACTATGAGTCGGTTCTGATTCGACAGCACTTAAGAACAACAGCAATTATATATATTTAATCAGGAGCCCTGGTGTAAGGTCACTATGAATCAGAAAGAAGTTACATTTGTTGATTTGGCAATAGCTCATATTTTAAATCTATCTATTTTCATGAAGCAAAACTGATACATATCTGAATTCAAATAAAAATTTAAAAACCTAATACAGTGCATTAGTTTACACAGTTTTACAGAAGGTTAGTCCAATAAATGATACATATTTGGCAACAAAAATGCTGTCATGTGTACAAAACACAGGCTGGAATCATAGGAGGCATACATCAGGCAACTACTCATACCATCAACATTGAGCACCTATTGTATACCCAGCCTAGAGTCAGGTGGCAGGCTCTACATTACTAGTTTCTATGACAGTTCATCAATCACGATGTTTGTTCTACATGGTTAACATTTTTGTACTACAACCCAAATGAATCTTGGCCTCTATACGTGATTTATGTAAGCAAGAAAAAGAGTGTGGCCAATTCTGGATTACCTCACATTTATTTAGCAATCCAGTTTCTTGCAGCCGTGACCAGATGCTCTGTATTCGTCCAGCATGCTCGGGGTGGGTGGTGGAATTGCCACAAATGCACTGGTGTTTCAGCATCAGAGGGTCATAGGCAATTCCTTTGGGACAAAGAAAACACAAGATTGAGTAGTGATATAAGGTACAGGTTAGAAAACAATATGATTACTCAAATAAGTCAGCCATTTTGAAATAAAGTTCATGAATGGAGAAATAATACTTATCAGTCAGGTCTCAGGAGACACTATTTGGTCCTATGTACCTGAACATGTATGGGAAAACAAACCAAAACTATGGAGACTACAGTGCTCAGAAGCTTGCTTAGTAAATCGGTAAAGTGATGAAGATGGTAACATTTCAGGAAAAACTTAAGGAAAAAAACATCAGTATTTTAGATTGTTATTAAGTTATATTAGATAATTCAATTCAGTGGAGGTATTCATATTATTTCTGAAGCCACAAAACAAGGTGGCTCTTCAAAACTTGAATTCACTTCATGAGTAACTGTATTCTCACTTTAGGTCAGGGTTACATCCTTGTCACAAATTGAAGGTTTTCCAACTGCTTATCTATTCTGACTAGCAATTCCTTCAAAACCGAGTGCAAGTAATTTCTTCTCTGCTTACTTGTAATAAAGGCAATTATGTTATTAGTATGGTTATTGTCCACCTTATAATATTCTGGAGGTTTTGAAACATTTCTTTTTAAAAGCCAATAAATTAGTTGCTCTACATTAGTAGAAATCACATAGATACCTACTAAAATTTAATCTAGAATTGACATAAATTAGTATATTTTATTTCAGTTAGATTCTGGTGTAAGAAATATTTTATTTAAATATGATGAAATGAAACATCAGAGGTTTACAAAATAAAATTTTGAAAGCAAAAATTTAGATGACAATTGTAATTGATAAATTTTTTAAGATTTCCATTGGCACACAAAAATTACCTTTGCTTTAAAATCCATCTGTAACTTTACCAATAAGATTGAAACATTAGTTTAGCAAAAACTAGATTTATTGGTAGGATATGGGGTGGTTCATTAAACCAAATGGAAAACTAGATACATGGGTCTTGAAAGAAGTGGGAAGCAGGGCAACTCTGGGTACCTGGAGTTGGATATCTATGTCTGGGTGTGTATTCTGGAGCAGAAACAAGGAATTGCCCTCTTTGGATAATTGCTGTTGGAATTAATAGGTGTCACCATGTTCTCATTTTGTGTCACTGTGTTCAAATTCAAATCCCAGGGAGAGAGCATTTGATTAGCTGAATTTGAGATTATAGCTCATCCCTCAGATGGAGTTGGACATCTTAACTGGTAGGTACACCAAAATGTACATCCACTGAGCAAAGAACATTTCCCAAGGCAAAATCAGTAGAGAGTCCCTAGGTGGCACAAATGGTGTGCTCCTGACTGCTCACACAAAGGGTGACAGTTGAAACCTACTTAGCAGCACCATGAAAGAAAGTCCTGGTGATGTGCTTCCATAAAGATCCCAGCCAAGAAAGCCTGTGGAGCACAGTTCTACTCGGTCACACATGGGGCTACAATGAATTCACAACGGCTTCTTTTGTTTTATTTTGTTTTAATGTGTAATAGCTGTTCATGATGACTTTTATTTCATTTTTTAAATTGTTTTCCCCTTTATCCAAGTTAACATGTGTCTACCCTCCAGACTGCAAAGTCATTTGAACTACAAGGTCAGTGGTTCAAGCTCACCAGTTTCTCCTTGGAAACTCTATAGAGAGTCGCTATGGGTCGGAATCAACTCGACAGCACTTAACAACACCAACAACAGCCTCCAGCCAGTGACCCATCTTTCCCTCCCTGCCCTCTTATTCCTCATAACCATCAAAGAATGTCTCATTCAGTGGTGTAAAAAGTGGGGTGGGGGGAAGGTTTCACAATGAAAGAGATTGAAATTCTTGAAGCACAGACTCTTCCTCCTCTCTGCAATGCTATCTCATACCATTCCCTCCAGTAACCTCTGTTTCTCCAACACAGACTTTCCTTCCATTCCTCAAAAGGTACACAATCTTTCTGGTCTTGGAATCTTTATATATGCTGCTCCATATGAACCAGAAGTTCTCCTTCCCTGTGTTCCATAACTGCAACCCTCATTGAATAATTCCTACACATTATTTAAGGCTCAACTTTCAAGCCAATTCCTCTACAAATCTATCCTAAGAACTCTAAACTAGGTGTTCTACTATTTACTTATAATACCTGCTAGGTCCCTGTTCAGAGTGTGTATCACAATTGCATGATTTTCAGACGATTTTGTTAACTGCCCATTTGTTGTCTTCAGTAGACAGTGTTGTTTCGTGTCACAAAGCAATGCAATAAGACACAGTAGAAACTGCTCCATAGGGCTAGTCATCAGGTCTACACTCCTGTTATGTCACTGGTGGGTTCAAACCACTGACCTTTCAATTAGTAGAACTTAACCATTTGTTGTTGTTAAGTACCTTAGAGTTGACGCAAATTCAACCCTGTATAAGGCTTACAAACGACAACTGATGGGTTTGAATTGTTGACCTTGTGGTTCAGAGTCCAGTGCTGATCCTAGTAAAATCTATGAAATTTCACACTAGAGTTGTGTTGTTCATTCTGATAGTTCAATGCTTGGAAATATGCTTGACAAATATTAAGTTCTTAAAAATACTGTTTATTGAATGAACGGAAAACATCAATAAATGAATACAGTTTAGAACTAGGTCAGCTATCTCTAATATAAAGCCTGTTTGACGATCCTAATGTGAAAAAAAACCCCTAGACTTCTGATTTTGTAATTTTACATACTTAATATTTTACCTTTTATTTTGTATGTCCTATGGTTCTACCAATATTCAGGTGCCTCTAGTACAGGAATTTATCTTACTCAGCATTTTACTTTAGGGAAAAAGATGATGAATAAATATCTTTGAATAAGTCCAAAGGGAAAACATGAAAAAGGCAGAAAAGGAATGTCTTCACAATTCAGATTTTTTGAGAATTTGTGAGATGTTATTATTCTTTAACATATTTTCTACCACAGTTTCATTGTATGTAAAATTAAAGATATATCAATAGCAATAAAATAATACAGAAACAAATACTATAGCATCTGCCTCCTTTTGAAAACATTCATGAAAAGCAGAGATTCTACTCATTAAGTTAATTAACTTCACTATTTCCTCTCTCAACACATCTATTCTCACCTCCATAGTAATTGCCCCCTTTAACAACATTATTCCCATAGCCCACTGCCTACTGAAAAAAATACTGTAAAACAGGTATGGTAGCTAGACATTATAGTCAGATACCTAGAGATTATAATATAAAGTCCAGGAGCTCTTGGAAAGACATTTGAATTTAAGGGGACATATATAAAATCTGGAACACTAGATTTCCACTGACTCTTCAGTGAGGTGCTAACAGGTAGGAAGCAAGGTAAGACTTTAACATCACCCTTCATCTCCACTTCTTTTCTTTTCTTTCGTTTCAGAAACAAAACCTTACAGGTTGAGAAATAAGCCTGCCTTTCTCTCTGGGATTCCCATGAAATTTCACTTTTGTTTTAACATGCTGTCCCACTGGTTACCACTGATGATATAAATCAATAGGTCAATCTGCTTCTCTATCAATTCATTGCCTGAATTTTCTGAGTTTATATATATATATATTTTTTTTTTTTTCAAAGATCTTAAATTTTTATATGTTTTCTTCAACAAATTTAGTCTTTGTAATCCCAGTTTTTCTCTGATTTTTAAGTACTGGTGTGATGCTGTAGGATAAGCACTGGACTGAAAGGTCAGTTTAAACTGCAAGGTTGGTGATTCAAACTCACCAGCTGCTCCTAGGAAACCCTATACAGGGTCGCTATGAGTCAGAACCAACCTGACAGCAATTAGCAACAACAACAATATAAATGAGTCGCCTAAGTGCTTACAGCCCTGGAGTGTAATGGTTGCTAGTTGGCCTGCTAACCACAAGGTCAGCAGTTCAAATCTACAAGTCACTCCGTGGGAGAAAGATGAGATTTTCTGTTCCCATAAAGATTTACAGCATTGGAACCCTAAACAGGGTCACTATGAATTGGAACTGACTCCATGACATACAACCACCACCACCATTGTAGTACTTGCCTATTTTTTAAATTATTGTTTTGTTGTTAGCTCCCCTTTAGTCAATTCCAATACATCAGACCCAAAACAGATCAATAGGCCTATCTTCCAAAAACAGATGGATAGGCCTATCTTCGGAGAAACGTTTAGGTGGGTTCAAACTGCTTGCCAATCAGCTAGTCGTTTCACTGCTTGTATAACCAGGGACTCCTTTATTAATCCTTCACATCGGTGTTAGGTGCCACTGAGTAGCTTCTGACTCACAGTGACTCTATGCTCAACAGAACCACAGACACTGCCTAGTCCTGCAAGTCCTTCACAATTGTTATGTCTGAGCCATGTTGTTGCCACTGTGTCAGTCCCTCTAGTGGAGGGTCTTCCTCTTTTCCACTGATCTTCCACTTTACTATGCATGATGTCCAATAAGTCCTTATTGAGTGACAAAATCCATTCATGTTTCTAGGTTTACATTCAGTCCACCTGGTCTATTAAGGAAGTTAAGAAACTTCAGACATGAAATCTCTGATTTCTGATTCTTAACATTCAACTTTATATTACATTTCTGGTAGCTGCCTGAGGTTTCAAGTCTTGAAATATCTGCTTATCAACATTTATTGAGCACCTTCCAAAATGACAGGGTTGATCAAATATAACACAAATATATGAGAGGCACAGCACTTCCCTGATAGCTGCAGATGCCGTAGGCAGACACAGACGACTCATCATTTCTCACTACCTTCGAGGTACAGCTTCATTTTATTACATTTAACTTACAACCTCGTAGTAGAGGTGAGGCATGTAAAAACATAGTTATTTGATATGTCAAAAGAAAACGCTTTGTATACAAGAAAGAAAGAAAGAAAAAAGACTAGGAAGCCAGGTAAAACAACCAACCAACCAAAAACCTTTATATGACAGAGTATCCAAAACAGTAGGGGCTATTTTGATGTAAGAGCTATTCCTAATGATCTCCAAACCATATTGCCTTCCCT